CAAACCGTGCACCTAACACTGCATGCGGTCGCCGTCACATTCTCTCGCTTTCTCTCTAAATCGTGAACAAATCCACCGTCTGATCGCGTTCGAATCGGAACACCTCCGAACGTTGCTCGGTTATCATTCGCCCTTTACGCTCGATAACATCCTCGTTCGGTTTGAATCCGCCCGCGCATTTCTTTTCTATGACCTGCCCATGAACCGTTTTGAACCCTAACAATCATCACACATCTGACTCAATTCGCGCTCAAAATTGACTGCTAAATCATATCAATCTAAACCTCCAAACCGTGCACCTAACACTGCATGCGGTCGCCGTCACATTCTCTCGCTTTCTATCTAAGTCACAGATTAACAATGGTTGCTGCATCCTGAGCTATTCCACAAGTTTGGATTTATTTTTCCTGCATTCCTTTCATGTTCTAGATACACATCCTACCTGCACAGCATAATAAGGCAAGCCATTCATGTCCAATTCTCATGTTGAGCACCATATACTGACATGTCAGTTATTTTTGCTCCCCGATCGGGGAGTAAGCCCTATGAGTTATTCTCACAATATGTTAATCTCCTACATGGTAACTAATATGCCTTATCCAGCTCTTTGTTATGAGATAAGATCATTTGCCATTATTTTTATGTTCCTTTTCTTTGTCGATATATATATATATGGCACTCTGCGCTCATTCGCCTTGCTGCATTCTATCGCACTAGCTTCTATCCAGCTTCGAGACAGCGAGAGTCAGCGTACTCGATGTCTTCGCCGTCGGGTCACCGTCTCCTGCATACGTCGACGTGCTCATGAATCGTGGTGATTGGGCAAGGGAGTGGGTGGCGAGTGGGGTGGCTCTGCGTGAACGGCTCGACGTGTTGAGCGCCATGAGGGCAGTGGTTGCGGGTGTAATGACAGGGCTGGCTCACGTTGGTACGCCGTGGGGAATAGAAAGGACCGTGGCCCTTGAGCACGCGTGGGCATGCGCGTAGTTGCTGCGAAGTCGAAGAGGGCACGCTGGGGAAGAGGGCAGAACGATCGACTCACCGCGAATGAATCGTCAAAGGCCTCACCACCCAGCGCCCAGCCTTCCGATGGCATTCCAATCGCGTCTGCGGTCGCGCGCGCTCTCGAGCGATTCCCAATAGTGCAGCTAAGGAAAGAGAGCGACGTAATCAAGAAGGATTCGCGCGGCTTACTTGCAAACGGCCCTCCCATACTCCCAGCGTGCGGCCGCGGTCAAATGCGATCCAAGGACGATATGCGTGCACAGACGGATGGTGAGGTGCACATAGGCATGCGCGCGGCCGATGCCATCGAGAGACGAGTCAGTGCGAGCAGTGAAGAGGTTGCGAGTGACGTGCGCAGGGCAGCACGTGATGGTGAATGCCGAGGACGTTGTTCGAGCGCGCGCTGGAGTGCATGAGGATAGTGTGCACGAGCGGGATGGTCAACGGAGCCGAGGTCGCCGATTTGTTGCCAGCATGATGGGAGTGGACATGACGTCTTAGAGGACGGCCTCGACGACGCCGGCAGCGAAGGAGGAGCAGCTGAGCTGGCTCATGTCATGTGGGACGGAGATGTTGCGGGTGATGGGTGGGTCATTGTTGATGATCATGTCTGCGTGGAGGCGTGAGTACATATAAAAAGAAGAGACAGGAGGACGGACATTCATCAGCATTCTCGACGCTCTTTTCGATGGCGTCGGCGGGCTTGCCAAAGATGGCACACCAGAACTGGGTGTGGATGGACATGAGGGTGGGGAGGAAGCGGATCTCGTGCTTGGGGGCCTTGGAGCCAGACTCGTTGCGCCAGGACATGAGTTCCAGGACGCACACGCCAATGCGGTAGCCGAGAGTATTAAGTCTGCGCAATCAGCATCAGTGCAACGAAGAAAGAGGGCACGCAACTCATCACTGCTCGAGATCATTGATGCCGCTGACGCACTTCTGGGTGTACTGGATGACCTTGGAGAAGAGAAAGGCAAATGCGCTCGCGCTGACCTGGGCCTGGCGGGACTTGTTGAGCGGGTGGTCGTAGATGGAGGCGCGGGGTGTGGTGGGCTTGGGAGTGCCGGCGGCGGTGTTGAGCGAGGGCGCGGATGGGAGGGAGAAGCGGGTGGAGGAGGTGGGGGAGAGGTGCTCGGTGGAGGAGAGAGACGAGGAGGAGAGGACGGAGAAGCGGGGGTGTGGTTGAGCGTAGGACATGGCGAGCTGAACGAGCGTGGTGGCGACGATGAGCATGGGCGCTACGTTAGCCGGAGCGTGGGCCGCGATTACAAATTGGGAAATGTGCTCGGCGACATGCGCGGCGGCGGCAACGGCGGCAGAAGGCGCACCGATGCGTGCTCTCGGCGGCGTGCGCCGGGTGGGGACGGCGAGGGATATGGCAGACCGGCTTGGCTTGGCGCTGGCCCTCGCCCGCACCCACAGTAGGAGGTGGCGTGAGCACGACGCCGCATGTAGACAGAGATCGTCGAGTCTGCAGAGCATGCACGGGTGGTCGAGCGAGGGCAGAGGCATCTAGAAGGTCAGTATATGTGCCCTGGGGTGCCGCACAATGCACTGAAAAAAAAAGACTCACCTAGGTGTATATGCCCTCCATTCGACCCTCACACCTTCCCGCGCCCTTGCTAGCCCATCCAACGCCCATCAAGGTGAAGCAGAATCCAGCGAACGCACGCCGGGCAAAGATCGCTCTGCGCGGCCTATGTTCGCTCGTGGCCCCGCACCCTGCCATCCTTCCGTCATGTCGTCGACCAGGGATCGA